AGGATGGGTACACTGGATAATCTTGAATCAAATTCAAGCACGGTATAATTTCTGTGTTTCAGTGTTGAAAACATTTAGACCATTTTTTCAATCATGCCAGCGTTTCCTTCTCAACTCTAAATCAAAGTAAGGAGACAAATGTAGGCTTGTCATAGCCTTTATTGCTACTTGTGTTTTAATATCCACTTGACTATAAGTGATCTACCTGAGAATTTCCTACTCTTTTGGCTCTCTGTTTACCTTAAGCTCAACTGCATCATTTGGCTATTTGAGTGTTACAGTTCATGACAGAGATGAAAGAGACAGCTTTTATCATGCAGAATGTCTCCCAAAGGTAAGAACCTGTTTTTCATCATTAACATCTTCAGTCCAGGCAACATCATCTAGAACTGTTCTCAAATCTAGGAGTCTAATTGTCATGGATGAACTCGGGAGAGCTACCTCTTCCTCTGATGGATTTGCAATTGCCTGGAGCTGCTGTGAGCATCTATTATCGCTGAAAGTGTAATTCCTTCCTACCCAACCCATTTCTTTACCTCTTATTTATTCTTGCTGGAGTTTTAGCTGATAGATTGACAAGGATTAGATGTTCATATCATAGTTCTGCTTTCATATTGCATCTCAGTATCTCTTCAAAGGCTACTCCGAGGCCAGATAGGTCCTAACAGTCATTATCTTACTCCTTTTTTGATGGAGGCCCTTTTGAATTCTGATTCTGAAGAAAAAAATTCCTCTTTTTACTTAATTTAATTTTAGTCTAGGTGTTCCTTAAAATTGCCTTCTTTTACCCTTTCTAAATGTCTTCTCCTCATTTCCAGTATTATCTGTTAACTCAGGCTGTTTTGCAGACCATATTGGTGAAACTTACAGAACTAATATATCGTCATAACTTATCTTCTTCAGGTACACTATATTTTCTACTCATATGGAAAACTTGTCAGAACTGGCAACCATTTACCCCAATGTGAAAATCCTTCACTTTAAGGTTGATGTAAGAAACAACCGCTTAGATTTCAAGGTGGTATATATTCCCATATTTCTATATTCTTATGCTCAAATTTTAAACTCCCATCTTTCGCTGAGTGAAACTCAGAGATGCTGACTAAAACTCTGAATTCATTCAGTTCCAACTCAAGGATGGACCAAGACATGTAGCACATTATGGTCTTCTATTAGCAGAAGTTGCAGGATTACCAAGTTCTGTGATTGAGACAGCGAGAAGCATAACATCAAGGATTACAGACAAGGTAATTTTGGCCAAACAGTTATTTCTCGATCAATAACTTTACCTTGATATTTTCGGGGTTATGTGTTTTGATTATCTGTGTAGGAAGTGAAGCAAATGGAAGTAAACAGCCAGCAATATCATCAAATCCAAAGGACTTACCATGTTGCTCAGCGACTGATTTGCTTGAAGTATTCCAGCCAAGATGAAGATTCAATCCGGAAAGCATTGCAGAATCTCAAAGAGAGCTACATAGATGGAAGGCTCTGAGATTGCTGCCAATATAACGAAGGCCCTTCGGAAAGCAGAATTTGCTTGTACATGCATTCACATAATATCTGATTAGCAACCTAACTCCATGGTTAATGCACCGTGCTAGATCCTGATTTAGTCATCTCTGCGTTAACTAATTCTTTCATTCTCTTCTCAAAGAAAGATACAGATACTTAGGTATGGTAATGGCAATGGGGAATGAAATTGTAACTTGAAATGCACAAAAAGAGAAAGCATGCACGGCTATGAGCAGGAACTTGGCAACATCTCAAACGCAAATTATATTAATTGATGAAGGTACAGAACCACTAAATAAAAAAAAATCCAAAAATTTCGATATTCAGTAATTCAAACTCAAAGTGACAGCTATGTTCTCCAAACAAACTCTGGAAAATGGTAAGACCAAAAACTTTCCTAATGTCAACGGTAGCGACGAAGGGAGAGAGTGTTGTTTCTCTTCCAGGTAGCCCTGCGAGAAGGCCGATTCTTGTGGTGCGAGTGACCCTTTCCATGCAGACCCCTGTTTTTCTTCCCAGCAGAAGTGAGACCACGAAGCTCCCTGTGCTTGTGGACAGGATTACAGATCCAGTTAATTCTTGGATCGTTCCGGATGGCATTATGTGCCACATCAACCAGGATTATCTCATAGTACTTGTAAGTGGAATCCTATGCCAGAAAAAAAAAAATGGAGGGAAAACATTTTTAAAGAGACATTCACATCACCAACTGTTGTCAGAAGACAAGGCAGAAATTTGGAAGCCCGAATATAGCCAAGGTACCTCATTGATCCAGTATGAATTGAGAACCCTAAGACCACCCAATTTTCGCCCAGCACGCTCTTCTGCAATGGACCTCTTGCTTCTCTGGAACTTTAATTGAGTGACACCCTGGTTTGTGGGCTTACCATAAACAATACCTTTGGGAACTGGCCTCTTCCTGCCACCACGCCTAACACGGACACGATAAATCACATAACCCTGGAAGGCAATTTCCCAGCATCATCCGATGCAAACATGAGACAGACAAACAAGGCTCACTTTCAAATAAAAGAAATCAAAGTAACTTATTTCAGAGAGAACAAACAACACCAAGAGACCATTTAGTGTATCGATCAAGACAAGAGAAGGATTCATGATAAGAAAATGCACTCAGTCAGATGATCAACTGTCTGCTTTTATATAGCTGGCCTATTGCGCATCATATCATTGTACATAAGTAGTACAATCAAGATGTCACTCACACCAGCAAGAACCTTTTTTTTTTTTTCATAAAAAAATGCTCTTTCAAGGTTGAGCTATTATATACAATTATGAAACTTGAAGGCATAAAAAACAATTATATGTGGACATAATAGATGGACGAACAAGGCTGGCTTTCAAATAAAAGAAATCAAAGTAACTTATTCAGAAAGAACAAACAACACCCAGAGACCATTTAGTGTATCGATCAAGACAAGAGAAGAATTCATGATAAACGAATCCACTCAGTCAGATGACCGACTGCCAGATTTACTATAGCTAGCATTCTGACGCATCATATCATTGTACATATAACGTAGTACAATCAAGATGTCGCCCGGCACCAGCAAGAACTTTTCACATCTAAACTAGAGTTCTAATAACTTACAAAATAATAATTCTTAGAATTTTGGAGTACCCAAATCTTCTTTTTACTTATAAAAAATGTTTTCTCACTTTTTTTTCAAGTTTGAGTTATTATAAACAATCAAGAACATAGGGATGGAGTATCTTCAATGTATCGTATCGAGACAACAGCAAGATTCAAGATAAAAGAATCTACTTGGTAATGATCGATTATCTAGTTAATATAGCTGGTCTCAGGAAGCATCCAATCATTGTGCATACATGGTATGCATCAAGGCACCACTTAACCAGCAAATAATAGCAAATCATGCTACGTAATGTACTGCTAAAGCAATTGGGCTTCATTAAAAATTTAAGATTTTTTAAGTGTTTACCTGCTTAGCCTTGTACCCGAGACGGCGAGCCTTATCAGGGCGAGTCGGCCTGGTGACACGAACAATGGATGGATGCTGGCGGTACTCCCAGCACCTCACCCTCTGCAAAAACCTCATCACATCGGACTGCTTCTTCCTCCATAGTTCAGACACGTACTTGTAAGCTCCTACATTCAAAGAAGCCCGAAAATCAAACCTCAACACATTTACACTTTCAAAACACAGATCCAATCGATACTTTCAAAACATGTATATTGTAAGAATAGATACACAGATTCGAAAAGCAAGAGACAAGAGAGTACCCATGATTGACCTGACTGCGGGGGAGGCTAGGGTTTTCGCTTCCAGAAGAAGAAGAAGGAGGGTAGGGTTTGTGGGCCATTTATACTTGATAAAAAAAAAAAAAAAACTAGTTTTTCCCTGTAGTCTTGTTTCTTCGTTGTACTTGGGTTAGCCCACTTTTCTTTGAATTGATTGGCCCATATTATTCAGATGGGCTTATCCATACTCAGCCTACCTATTTAGGCTACAAGCCCACTTTTCTTTTCGCCCTTCAGCTCACTTCTCAAAATAAAGAAAACAAAAAAATTCCCTCCAACAAAAATTCAAGGATATTATGGAAATGAAAAAAGTGTAACATGGTTTTAGATTATATTAAATTGTATTATATTAATCATTAAATAAGAATTAAAACCTTGATATTAATTTTTTTTTATTTAATAATTTTTATTTTACAATTTAATACAGTTAAATTGCATAATAAAATTTCCTAGTCAATTCACTAATGTATGGTGCTTATCAATTTTGGATTCACCAAAATTAGAAGTTTTTTGAAACCCAAAAATGGCATCTTGTTTAGTCTGTAGAACACCAACATTCAATACGACATTGTTGGGCAAAAACTAACATTTAGCCCTTCACCTTACAAAATTAGTAGGTTTTAGTCATTTACTTTATAATATGACACTTTTAGCCTTTTACCTTACAAATTTAGTAGGTTTTAACCCCTCACTTTATAAAGTTGGTAGGTTTTAAACCCTTACCTTATATTATGACATTTTTAGCCCCTCACCTATATGAATTGAAGAAAATAATTCTTACATAATATTAGGTTATAACATTATATTAGTTTTGTTAACTGACTGTTAACATTCGTTAACATTTCGTTATAGAAAATATGAAATTTAAATTCAATTTATTTGTTAGTTTCATTAACGGAATACTAACGAATGCTAACAGTCAATTAACAGAAATAACAATTAATTAACATAACATTATAACCTGATGTTAAATGAGAGCTATTTTCTTCAATTTGAATAAATAAAGGATTAAAAGTGTCAAATATAAAGTAAAGAGCTAAAATCTATTAATTTTGTAAGGTAAGGAGTCAAAACCTATTAACTTTATAAAGTACAAAACTAAAAGTGTCATATTATAATGTTAAAGGCTAAAACCAACTAATTTTATAAAGTAAAAAGCTAAAAAATTAGTTTTAGCCAACATTGATTTGGGTTCATATAAAATCCTAATATCCAGTGTACTATATATATTGTACTATACATATATATATATATATATATATATATTAGCAACGCATTTAAATATTTGCACCAGCACAAAAACAGATGGAAAATTTTCCCTTGTCCACAAATGAAAAAACTCAGCCTGATATATTTGCCAAATAAACTTCCTTTTTTTCTAGGGATTGGGGGGCACTCTTGAATTTTTGCTTCTCATGAGACTTTAGGCACTATCAGTAATAGGTTGATTGAAATTGAATAAGATATATTTCCGTTAAAGCAAAAAAGAGTAATTCAAATGAATGTGCCGACAAACAAATTCATGTCAGCCCTTCAGCTCGACTAGAGAATTCAAAGAACTTTCCAACAAAGAAGCACATCTCCTTCACAA